GCCTGCTGTGTTCATCCAGCTCTACACCTTGTTATCTCAGATTCTCCAGCATCTGCAGTTCCTACTATCTCTAATACATTGGTTAGTTGACATATAGTCCAGAATGCCAATCACAAAAGAGACGATTCAGGTTCTACAGGACTGGACATCTCAAATGTAGTGTCTGTAGTGAAAAGTAGATCAAACATAAGGCAGATACCTACCAGCCCACTATCACTGACAGGTCAAAGAATAGGAGTACATCGCAGAGAAAGAAATACAATTAAGGTTTCATAAAGAGCGTTCAGCATTGTGTGAGAAGGGGCAGATCCTGCCCATTAATGACAGAAATTGACAGCACAAAAGCAGACTATTTGACCTGTCACACTCATGCCACCTCTTTGAAAGAACCCTTAATTAGTCCCAGCCCTTGTTATTTCTGCAGACTATTTCTTCATTTTTCAACTACTTGTCTGCTTCCGTTTAAAAGCAATGCTGGATTTTGTTTCTCTCACTGTTCCTTTTTCTTTATTTGTTCATAGGATGTGGACATCATTGGCTGGGCCAACATTTACTGCTCATCCTGACTGCTCTGCAGAAGGTGGTGGTGAGCCAGAGTATTCCGTGCCTAATTCATCTAAAAACAAAAGGAGTCCTGATAGGTTACACAGTTCCTTGAGCTTGTTCCACCATTGAGGATCATGGCTAATCTGATCTTGACCTCAATGCCAATTTCCTGACTGTTCCCTAAAAATAGGAATTACAGGATTGTTGCAGTGCAGATGGAGACTAATCAGTCCAAGGTATCTACACTGGTTCTCAAACTCTGCTATTCGCCTGCCGTCTTCCAGAATCCAATGCATTCCAACTCTTAACTATTCGCTGCACAGAAAACATTTTCCTCATATCAGTTTTCCTTCTTTCACTCGTTACTTTAGTCTGTGCCTTCTCATCCTTTCATGAGGAGGAACATTTTCTCCTGGCTTATTTTCTCCAAAACCCTCAAGGTTTTGAATATTTCAAATCAGAATCTCCTTTTATCCTTCTCTTCTCTAAGTTGAAGAGTCCCAGCTTGTCAAATCTAACTTCATAGCTCAAATTCCTCAACTCTAGAACCATTCTCCTAAGCTTTTTTCACACTCTCTTCAAAGCCTTCACATCCTTCCAAACGTTTGGTGCCCAGAACTGGATGCAACTCTCTAGCTAACCAACGTAGTGTCTTATTTAAGATTGATATTATCTCCTTGCTCTTGTGTGCTATGCATCTATTGAGAAAGCCTAGGATACCATGCATTTTATTATTTGCTTTCTCAACCTGTTCTGCCACCTTTAATGACTTTTGTACAAATGCACCCAGATCTCTCTGCTACCAGTGGTTTAAGAGTAATCATGCACGTTTATTTCATTGCTTCAGTACAGCGTTTATTTTTTAATGTAATACCCTTTATTATGTAACATCTCCATGTTCTTCTTAGCAAAAATTATCACCTCACATTTCTCCAAATTGAACATCATCTCCTACCTATTCATCCACTTCACCAAGTTGTCCATCTCCTGCTGAGGTTCTAAATAGTTTTACAATGCTTCCAAGATTCATAATATTAGCATTTAAAAAAAGATGCCTACGCACCAAAATTCCGGATCATTAATATATGGCATGAAAAGTAAAGGTCCCAACACTGAAACCTGGGGAGTTCCTCGCTTTGTTGCAGCTGTAACTTTGCATTCCTCGCTCCGTTTAATCACTCTATGATCTTTACTTCTTTGTATGCTATGATCTGCTTGTCCTGCATGCAAAACAAAACCTTTCACTGCACTTAGGTACATGTGACAATAACATATCAAATCAAATCACAACAAATTACAAACCGTTTCCTAGCCCAAAACATACATTAACTAGCTGCTATTTTTTTCTTGCCAGTTTTGTATCCATTGTGCTTCAGATCCTTTAATTCCATGAGCTCCAACATTATTCACAAGTCTGTTCGATGGCTTTGTATTGGATACTTTCTGGGAGTTCATGTATAATGTATTAACAGCACTGCACTGACCAATCCCCTCTGTTTGTTCATCTTAAAACTCCAAGAAGTTAGTTAAACACGATTTATCCCACAAGAAATTCAGGCTAGCTCTTTCTAATTCACTCACATTTGTCTATGTGGCTATTGATTTTCCCCCAAGTTGTTTCTAGAAGTTTGCCAACCACCAAAGTTAAAAGAAAGCAAGATATCAAAAAAAGTCTTCCAGTCTTTCCTGTCATTGTCTTGGTGAATTTTGTGCCCTGTAGTTACCATTCCAGCAACAATTAGTGGAAACAGTTTTTCCTCACTCACTTTATCAAGATGCCTCAATTTTCCATATCTCTATTAGATCCTCTCAGGCATGAGATCATCTTAATAGATTTATTCCTCACCCTTCCCACTACCCTGACAACCTTCCAAAAGTAAGCCATGCAAAACTGAATGCAATGTTCTACCAATGGGCGAAGTGT